TAGTGATAATAGGTAGGTTTATAGAGTGGTGAAAAATAGCGTTCGTCTGATTCCTCAAATTATTTCTTAAGTATAACCTTAAGTTGTTCAGACTGTGTGCATTATTTTTGTTGTGATTAGTGGTAATAGGGTTAGGGTATAGTGTGGTGAAAAGTAGTGATCGTACCACGGACCGAAATGGTTTTGCAGCTCTCGAACGCTTTAAGTTCGAGACGAAGAGGAGAACTTAAAAACTATCTCGAGACGGTTTTCGGCCCTAGGTACGAAACGTACTATTTCATTTTTATGATAAAACGAGGAGAGATGAAAGTTCATATTTAGAATTTCTTTCACTAACTCTGCTTTCGTTGAACAATTAATACCACGGAGATGACGTAGCATTGACGGCGCAACTGTGGCTGCTGTCGTTAGCAAAGCATCGACCACTTTCACCCGGAGGCAAAGTAGCATAATATGTGAGTCCATACAGCTTCCGTCACGCCCAGGTAGTTAAAGTGGTCTAGTAAAAATTAATACCTCAGTAAAAGCAAGAATACCTCAAACTCAGAAAATATTGTACTTTGTGTTTATGCTTGGTTTTGTATAATTTGTTAATTAGAATGGAAACTACATAATTTTTCGCCTAAATTGGAGATCTCAAATGGTTATACTGGTACAATGGCGAAACGTGCAGTGTAAGCCTACTGAAGTAGATAATCCTATATTTTTCAACTTTCAGACCAAGTTTTACCTAATCTGTTTTAATATTTCCATACAAAGGTGGCTACACCATTAGATTTTAATACTACTAGCCTGTTCATTTGTCAAGTTCAATTATTTTTAGAACTTACAGTCAAATGCTTGGTAAAACTTTCTCGAATACTCCAATGCATATTGAAATTTCAAGCACCTATGCACCAATGCATATTGAAATAAACCTGCAGCTATATTCCATTCGCTTCATACAGGGGTGCCCATCCCCCCCAAAGCTCACGTCGCAGAATCCCCCCCAAATTCGTTGTTTAACCCATGCCGGAAGGTCTGGGGGCTAGCCCATAGTTATGTTTATAATGCGGGGAGGGAAGGGGTGCCCCCGATACTTCTTTAAATTTATGGGAATTTAGGCGTTTGAATCAAACTTTTAATCCGATTTAAATGGACAATTTTCCTTTAAAACTCTAGTAGCAAACTTTTTGTTAGTTTAGTTTTAATTTAAATGAGTTGGATTTTTAACATGCACACAATTTGAATCAAAATTGGCCATGTAGTTTTTTTTATCCGATTTTCCATGAGTTAATAGGTTTTAAAAGGGAAAATCACAAAAGTTGCAATAACTTTTGAACCATAATTTTTACGGCATAGAGGGTTTATACAATTTTTGTCATAGTCAAAGAGTATAACATGTTAATTTTTAATCAAAATCTTTCGGGCCAATTCTGAGAAAATTTTATTCATCCATTATTTTATAGGGTTTTATGGAATATCACTATTAAAAATCCAAAATGAAAAAAAAAACATCTGGAGAGACCATGGATTGGTACCTAAAATACCAAATTTCATCAAAATCGGACTCGGACCACAGGCGTGGTCTGTAGCTCTGTACCATACATACACACATACAGACAGACACACACATCACTTCGAAAACCACTTTTTTGGGATCAGGGTTTTTGCATAAACAATTATTTTACCATATTAAATTGTAGGGGAGAAAGTACTTGAAGTTATGTCAAAAAGTTTGAGATATTTTCTAAATTGCCCTTTAATCCACTTCTGAGTTTGGTCCTTTTTAAATAAGTGTAAAATATTCAGTATCAAAAATATTACTAGGCCTAAACTTATTTCGTGCCTAGGGCCAAAATGAGGTTTTGCTGGTTCGAGGTAGTTTTTAAGTTCGATACGAGGTCGAGGACTTAAAACGATCGAGAACTGCAAAACCATTTCAGTCCGTGGTACGAACGCTATTATTCACCACCCCACACTATACCCTATTACCACTAATTCACCTCAATAATAATGCACTGCACACTGATATAGTCAACACAACTACAACTTTAAGGTCATGTGGATAAATAATTTGTGGAATCAGCAAAAATAATAATAAATAGTTGCTAGTCAGCGGTGACAATAAAACAACTCTATTGCAATGCTATGGATAATGATTGTGTATTTAAAACGGGCAGCTGATTTTGCGGCCCTAGGGATGTAAAAACCTGCTCGATCCCCAAATGACGATCACAGCTGGCATGGCCTACAAAACGTAACTTTCAGCCACCAATTAATGTACCTATATGTAAAACAGTTAAAAACATCATAGTGTGGTAAAATAGTATATTACGTTACTAGTCCTGATTCCCGTGCGAGACGAAGTCGAGTAGTGGTTTTTTTAATACGAGTCCGGCCAACACATTTTGGACGAGTGACGTACGATAGTTTACGCCATACTACTAAATCCGTTCAAATCCCTATATTACCACCAACTAAAGGACTAAAATTTTTGTTATAACCACTCATTGCCACCCAAATACAGTATAAACAGCTGATTGGTGTCCGGCAAAACTCATTACAGTACAGTAGTACTGTATGAAACCCCATTTAATTAAGGACAAACAGCTGTTTTCTGGACTAAATCCTTGCATGGGAAGTTCGTCAAAATAGTGTAGTGTGGCGTGAAAAAATAATTATATATCTATTCTAAGACTAGTAAAATTTGTTTGAAGCTCTTTCTAGATTCAAGAAAAGACAATAACAAATAAAATTTAATTAATCGAGGATCATGTGTTTCAGTTCTTGAAGTTAACGTAAACACATAGCCTATCAAAAACCTTAATTAAATTGTCACAGTACTGTATGTCAATTTCTTCCAATGAATAAATGACCCAGGCATAATTATTTGGGAGAGCCAAAATATTATCACAAGCTTTCATGTTGTTATGTTGTAAAAATAGCAAAATGATTATCATTATCATAATACTGGTTTTTTATGAATCAAGAATATATTATAATAAACAAACCTAAAAACCCATCAATAGGTCCTCAAGGCAATGAGACTATTTGAGAATAAGTTCATAATGAAAGGTAAAAACAAACTCAAATTGCAGATACAATTTAATAAGCAACCATAATCCTTTGACAGCAGTTGGCATGGAGTTGTTCTCACTGTCAAACATGATAGAGTCAGAAAGTGGAAATCCACATAAAAGTATCTATATATTTTATAGCAATTATTAAATGATTTATTAATCAAGATAAAATGTCAAACGGGATTTTGATTGCATAATTACCCCAATAATAAATTAAGGAGGTCGTAAAAATTATCTGATTAATCTTTTATGTGCTTTTAACCAACCACTGGCTTGAATCCCCCCCAAAATCATAAAATCCCCCCCAAATAAAATTCTGATGTCGCATTTTGCGACATCAAACCCCCCTGTGGGCACCCCTGGCTTCATATATCTCATAATTAATTAATTAATCTTTCTTTACTTTGTCTTGAACTACTCGTAACACGGCGTCATATATTTATCCTAGTCAAAACAGGGACGACCTACCCATCGCACCAATTGTACAATATTGTACCAATTGTAGGCTACTGGATTTTTGTCATAATCATAAATTAGGACAACTAACTGTTGAAGTAAGGCACATTTAAATTTCATATTGCACAAACGTTTATGGATTTTATAATATTCATGCACATACATTTACATTTCCAATTCTATGTCGTTCTCTGTGTTTGTATTCTCATAAAAATACATGGTACGCTGTGCGATCTTTTAAATCATATCGCAGATCCTACGTTTAGCGATACGACAGCTTTATAACATAAGCCTACAGAAGGTCAGTGAGAAACTTTTACAACAATTGTTTTTCAATATCCACAGTGATATTTTAATTTATAAAGAATTACTATAGCAATAAAATTACCTAAGAACACGAGAAGTAAGAGCTCGGCATATTCCAAGTGTGTTTAGTTGGTTCTGATAATTTAACAAATAACTATTTCCATTTCCTTTGGTTGTATAGCCAAACAGGCGTCCCCAGCTAAGCTTTATTTCACGCCACTGATCTAAATAAATAAACTTATGACGTATTTATATTCAAACTGTGCCTAAATATGTTTATAAAAAGTAAGATAAATTCTTTGATTATAAATCCCAGCAAATTTAACATGATAAGCCAAGTACATTGTCTTAATGAGTGAGTCATAGTAAACGACCTTTTTTACTAGGACCAGTGATGGCATTTTCATTATGCATCGATAGACAGTTAAATTGTTATATTTGTTGATTTAACATTACAGGATTACATTGTATTAAATAATAACATTTAAATTATAAAAAAAATAAAAAAAATATTATATATACCAAGCTGCGTTTAAGATTGTTTTTATTAAATATTAGTTCTGCCTAAGAGAGTTGACAGTAAAAGCGACACACTACACTACAAGTAGTCTCCTCAGTTCATTCATCTCTTGCCTTGTATTAGGCATAAAACACTTAGCCAACTAGCATCTCTGTGTCAATAATTAAGTAACAAAGAAATATTCTAAATAGATCCACAATCGGTCTAAAAATGTCGTTATCGTTAAAGCCATAGCTGTGTATACTAATAGTAGTATTTATCATTACATTTGTATTTACTTTACAGTTCGGTTTATAATTATCTATCCTCACATCTTCTAGGTTTTAATGAATTAATCAAAATAGCATTATTAAAATATGTTGTTTATGATTTGTCAAGATAAATCAATATTATATAAGATAAATCAATAGTGTTGTGTCACTAAGGAGGCTTTACCTTTGATTCCATACTAACGTTTTCTCGCTGTATTTATCTTTGGAAGCATTTAGCAACTCTTCGGGGTTGTATATGGAATTGAAAGGTACAGTAAACTACATATACTTTATCTTCACATTCTTACCCTTAAGATTCGCACATTTCGGAAGGTTTTTAGCCACTTTTGTAAACTACCACATATCTCCACACACTACTATTTATCACGTGTAGCCTAGACCTACCTGCATTATCCTGTCCTCCTCTCTCACTCTACAGTACACAGCCACCACTACACTATCACCGACTGCCGGCGCCCCGTCACACACACTTTCTTATACTCTCTCCCCACCAACCGCCAAAACACACACCAAAATACCAAATTATATGTGCAGTTCATGAATTGATAATAGTTTTTCACTAGAGTTGGGACATAAGTGATGAGTAGTTTGTAACAGCTTGTATTGGCTGTCGTGGTTCGCGTAGGCTTATTAAACATGAGATATGATATATCTATTAACTAGGAGCACAGTGCAGTTGTCTGTTTGTAATGTTGAGGGAAGCAAGCATAATGATACAATAATTTTGGGGAATGTAAAATTATGAGTTGGTTGTTCCTAATGTGCTCGGATTTACATAAATGGGATGTCTACTTGCACTACCCAAAGTCAATAGAGTGTTTACTTGCAGTATCTAAAGTCAATGCTGCAACTGGTTCACGTAAATTAGTTGTCTACATGCAGTTTTTAAAGCTAGTAGTAAATCTGGCTCATGTAAATGGGATGTTTACTTGTAGTATCCAAAGTCAATAGAGTGTTTACTTGCAGTATCTAAAGTCAATGCTGCAACTGGTTCACGTAAATTAGTTGTCTACATGCAGTTTTTAAAGCTAGTAGTAAATCTGGCTCATGCAAATGGGATGTTTACTTGCAGTATCTAAAGTCAATGCTGCAACTGGTTCACGTAAATTAGTTGTCTACATGCAGTTTTTAAAGCTAGTAGTAAATCTGGCTCATGTAAATGGGATGTTTACTTGCAGTATCTAAAGTCAATGCTGCAACTGGTTCACGTAAATTAGTTGTCTACATGCAGTTTTTAAAGCTAGTAGTAAATCTGGCTCATGCAAATGGAATGTTTACTTGTAGTGTCCAAAGTCAATAATACATGTATTTTAAATAAATGGAATGTCTTTTTGCAATATCTAAAGTCAATGGTGCATAGGCTCAAATTTATTTGTTATTTTCTAGTATTTTATGCACAACGGTATTAAACCGATTGTCCTTTCCTTTTGTTCTGTTTTGCAATATGCTTGTATAAATTGCTTGTATAAACTGCTTTTGACAGACATATGTTAAGACTCTTTTGTTTTTATCTTTGTAAATATGTGGTTTCCCTGGACACTAAATTAAAATACCTAGCTCAATAAAATAAAAGGGCAAACTGAATTATTAAACTCAACACTTTTAATTGAACCAACTAAAGAAGACATAGATTAGACTATTTTTGTTTTTAACATCACATTTAACAATTTAACCATCTGGTATTCATCATTGAAGTATAACATTAAAAACAGACATGTGGCAAATATTAAATTGCACTCAACACCCCTCCTCAATTTAATAATTTTACATTTGACACAATAAACAAACAAACAATCCTAACATCTTTCTCAAGAAATGAGAAACGAATGAATAGCTTGATTCCATGCTAATGGTGCCTGTTTCAAGCCATATAGTGCCTTTTGCAATTTGCAAACGGAGCCGGGTTTCCTTCAACTCCTTCAGGAATGGTCATATATATTTCCTCCTTCAGCTCCCCATGAAGAAAAGCATTGTTGACGTATAATTGTTCAAGAATTAATCCACGTTCATTTGCTACAGCCAGCAACACCCTAACTGTTGCAAGACGAACCACTGGAGCATATGTTTCTTCATAGTCAAAACCCTTTCTCTGTGAACATCCTTTGATAACAAGTCTTGCCTTGTATCTTTCAATATTTCCGTCCATGTCTTTCTTCAATTTGAAAACCCATTTACTGGCGATAGCTTTCCTTCCAGGTGGTAGTTCAGTGTAAGTCCAAGTTTTGTTTTCCTTTATAGAGTTAAGTTCTTCCTTTACAGCTTGATACCAATGATCCTTATCATCACGTGCTGCAATATCCTTGTAACTTTGCGGTACATCATCGACAAAGGATTCAGCATTCAGAGCAAGAACTGCATAATCCTGTAAGTATCTTGGCACATTCCTCTTTCTGGTAGAGTGTCTTATTGTTTCTTCTTCACTTACATGATCTTCAATTTCTTCTTCCTCTTCGTCAAGATTTGGTATAGAAATTCTTTGATTTTCATCAGACAATGATCTGGGTTCTTCTTTGTTCTTGTCTTCCTTTTTACTCGATCTGGATTCATGTACATGATCGGGAATCCAGTCTTCAATTGGTGTGCTCTCAAAGTTAAATTTTTCCTCATAAAACACAACATTTCTTCCAGTGATTATTTTCCTTCTTCATGACACCACAGTCGATAACCATTAGGACAATATCCAGTAAAAAAACACTTCAAGCACTTGCTGTCAAATTTACTTGATATTAATTCCTTAGGTAACAGCAAATATGCTGCACAGCCAAAAACTCTTAACTTACTAAGAATGTGGCTTCTCATTGTACCATAAAGCAGCAGGGATCTTTCCTCCTAAAGCTGATGTTGGACTTCGGTTGATTAGATATATGGCAGTTCGAACAGCTTCTGACCAAAATGTCTCACCTAATTCACAATCCTATACTATAATACGAGCAATGTTTGCTTGTATGTATGCTTGCTTGCTTGCTTGCAGAAAGATCTCGAAAACGGCTCCGACGATTTTCTTCAAATCTTGTAAATAGTTAATTTTTGGCCTAAAAACGAGTTTACTGCAGTTAGAACTACCAACAAAAATCTAATTACGGAGAAAAATGAAACTGAAAGTCACATTTTTTTAACATTAGTCTTATGGGTTGCTAAGTAACCATCTTGGCTGAATTAAATAACAAGGAAAAAGTAAACAAAAGACTTGTAAGTTCTAACACATGTGTTCATAAAGGCATCTACACACAGTATACTAGAAATTACTAAATACAGTACAAAAGCAAAAACATCACTTGTTACTATTGAGCAATGATTATACTGAAGCTTACTCGATACTTTGTAGTAAAGGCTAACGGGCTAACTTAGCAGTACGGAGTGTGGGATCTGTTATGACGATTAGATTAAGGTAGATTTCCCATCACTATTGAACAGCTGAAGCCAATTTTATTGTTAGTTCTGTCCGGTTTTCTGTAGATGTCGTGCTTTGTTTACAATTTGTTTTGTTTACAATTTGTTTCTTGTTATTTCAGTAATTTAAAACCTCGTAGTAGTACGGAGTGTGGTAACTGTTTATGACGATTGGATTAAGGTATCTGCAATCCTAAAATGCTATGGGAAGGGAGGGAAACAGGTCCGCGACGTAGGAATTGATCAAGGAAGTAGTAAAGGCGAGCAGTCCGGAGTGTGGGAACTGTTAATGACGATTTTATTAAGGTATCTACAATCTTAAAATGCAATGGGAAGGGAGGAAAATAGGTCCGAGACGTAGGAAGTGGTGAAGAAAGTAGTCAAGGCGAGCAGTCTGGAGTGTGGGAACTGTTTATGAGGATTAGATTAAGGTATCTGCAATCTTAAAATGCTATGGGAAGGGAGGGAAACAGGTCCGCGACGTAGGAATTGGCGAAGGAAGTAGTAAAGGCGAGTTCTTCGGAGTGTGGGAACTGTTTATGACGATTAGATTAAGGTATCTGCAATCCTAAAATGCTAAGGGAAGGGAGGGAAACCAGTCCGCGACGTAGGAATTGATAAAGGAAGTAGTAAAGGTGAGCATCCCGGAGTGTGGGAACTGTTAATGACGATTAGATTAAGGTATCTACAATCCTAAAATGCTATAGGAAGGGAGGAAAACAGTCCGCGACGTAGGAAGTGGTGAAGGAAGTAGTCAAGGCGAGCAGTCCGGAGTGAGGGAACTGTTTATGAGGATTAGATTAAGGTATTTGCAATCTTAAAATGCTATGGGAAGGGAGGGAAACAGGTCCGCGATTTAAGAAATGGTGAAGGAAGTAGTAGAGGCTGACATCGCTGAGTGGGGGATTGATTTCCCCCGAGCAAAGCTCGGTCCCCAGGTACTTAAGTATTAAACAACGAGCCCTTTCAACAATAGTCCTGTTCATTCGTTCTGAGACACCGTTCTGTTGAGGAGTATATCTGATTGTGAACTCATACTGAATTCCTTGCTCCTCAAAAAACTGCTTCAACTCATTTGACATGTATTCACGACCATTGTCACAACGAAATCTGCTAATCTTTAGATTGAAATGAGATGCAGTCAAAGCATGATACATCTTGACATATCTTGTGACTTCCGCCTTCGATTCTAGAGCATAGGCCACCGTGAAATGAGTAAAGTCGTCAATAAAAGTGATGATATATTTCTTACCGTCAAATGAAACTGGTGAGATTGGACCACACAAATCACTGTGAATCAACTCAAGAGGTTTGGTGGCACGTCTCCTGTTCTGATTGTAAGGAAATTGTGATTGTTTCCCTTCAACACACTTTGAACACTTTTCTAAGGGTAATGTTGAAGTATTCAACTCCATCCCATCTACCTGCGACCTGAGACTTTTAATACAACCATAGCTCAAATGACCAAGCCTGTCATGCCACAGCTTCATTTCTGTTTCAGTTGAAGACGCTGACAAAGCTTTGTGTTGCAAAAAATTTAACATATATAACTGAGAATTGTTTCTTTTTGCAACCGCAACAGTTTGATTATCTTTCTTAATCAAGCCACATGAATTTTGAAAGATAACACAAAAACCATTCATTTCCAATTTTCTTACTGAAAGTAAATTGTAGCTAATTCCAGGTACAGATAAAACATCTTTGATTGTTATTTTGATTTCCTTCCCTTCCACAACACTAGTGACATACAATTCCCCTTTACTTTTTGCTTCAAGATAAGTTCCAGACTTGGCTACTTTGATTTTAATAGGTTGGTCTAATTTCTTAAAGTTAGAGAGACATACCTCATTACTGTTAACCAGATGTTCCGTTGCTCCAGAGTCTAATATCCAATTTATGGTATCTGCTGAACAGTCTTCACTTGATGTTCCAAAACAAAATGCATCTTCCTGTTTGGTGTCGACCACATTCGCAGAATTATATTTCTTTGCTGGGTTCAGTGGTAATTTGACTCTGCAGTTAGCTCGTTTGTGTCCAAG